GTCATAAATTCTGCAACAGGGGCGGGGGATATAGCCACGTTAGTAGCAAACTCTTGTTGTCATCATGGTCATTGGGGCGGTCGGGTAGCCTCGTGGTTAAAGCGTTCGCTCGTCACGCCGAAGACCCGGGTTCGATTCCCGACATGGGTACAATGTGTGAAGCCCATTTCTGGTGTCCCCCGCCGTGATATTGCTGGAATATTGCTAAAAGCGGCGTAAAACCATACTCACTCACTCATCATGGTCATTGTACCCTGAATACAAGAATTTTGGCTCATGCTTTTAACCGCTTGAATGTCTGGCCCAAACATGATACACTACTGCTGTATTTTAGTTGTAATATTGTAAAAAACTAAAACATCAACATAAATCTGACATTATATAATAAATTTTATCAATTTGGACAGTTTTGTGGAAAATTGATTGTTACTAGAAGCAGAAAGCAACATCAAAATCATCTGATAATATTAACCTTCAATTTAATACCAAGTTGCATAATGTGCTGAAATATCATTTCCTTTCTATGAATTAATCGGTGAAGACATGATGAATAAAGCAGACACTGATTCCAGGAATGATAAAGCCTAGAGAACCTGAAATGAGCAATGTGTTTATATTTATCACTTAGTACATCGTAGTGTGCACTGCCATGTCATGAGTGTTATCGTTATCGGATAAAGAGCTCATGTCCAGTGTCCTCTTGGAGCCATGCTTACATGGATAATAACGACATTAATGTGCCAGGATGTCAACAGTTCTGTCTAATGGCATTCTCTTGGTAATTGTTGCAATTATTGATGAAATTGGGGATAGAATCAATGTCCATAATCAGTACTGGGAACGTTAACAGCCATTTGCAATTTCTGATCGCTATAATTTGAAAATGATACACACCAATTTTATACATCATTACTGATTGCTGCATGGTCTGTCAAAATCACCTTAATCACTTCTGAATAATTTCCTTTGGTTCAAATAGGATGATGAACAAAAAATTGAATTTGAAGGAACATCATGGTTTCAGCTGCTCAGAAGTCTATAACAAGGTTATTAACTTCAAACACTGTTTACTTGGAATTATAAAGCTATAATCAACACTGATACTTTTTATACAGTCTCATATCTTATTATATTTATGAAAAAAAGTCCATAAAATACATAAAGCATAAAATATTTCATAAGTCAATCAATAAATGAAGAGGTTTCGGGTACAACAGCATGTTTCTGTACAACTCCTTGTCCTCTGAGTTCGTTTGTTTGTTGTTTTACACCCCACTCAGAAATATTCCAGCTTTATGACGGCGGTCTGTAAATAATCCAGTCTGGACCAGACAATCCATTGATTGATATCATGAGCATTGATCCACACAATTGGGATCGATGACATGCATCAACCAAGTCAGCGAGCCTGACCACCTGATCCCGTTAGTCGACTCTTATGACAACCATAGTCACCTTTTAAGGCAAGCATGGGTTGCTGAAGACCTCTTCTACCACGGATCTTCACGGGTCTGTCCTCTGAGAGTAAGCAACAACAGACTGATGGTTATTCACACCTGTACATCAGTAATTAACTTGAGGAAGCAAGTTACATAACCACATATTGGTTAATTAAGAACGTATTAGCCTCTTCCTTGACCATGTTGACATCAAATGGTAAAAATTAATTACGCCTAAAATCCCGATGAGATAATTCATATGTGATTACCCTTGCGCACCTCCACCCCTGGGACCCCCAGCCTCACCCTTTCCACACTACAATCCCACCCCTAGCACCACATGACTGTGAAAATTGTATACTGCAAAACCCTATTAAGTTAATCTCACTGAATTCATAAAAGAGAAATGGGCAATCACATGTTTTTGATAAGGGGAGGCACTTTTAGCCCAGCCTAAGGCACTGTGATTCGCTGTGCAGAGTTGCGTCGCTTGGGCACGCCAGATACCTGTGATTGTGGGTTCGAATCCCAGTTCGCCCCGATTATGTATCTAGGTTTGTCAACACCATACCCGTGCTTGTGGGTTTCACTGAAGTGGTAAATGTCTGAGACCTGCATCACTTCGGGCTTTCCTCCCACATTAAGCTGACATGCCACGATATAACTGTAATACTGTTAAAAGTAGTGTTAAACCCAACTCACTCACTCACTCTTGATAAGGATATTCCTAGGTATGCAAAACTGATTAACAGTATTATAAATTGTTATACGTACATAGTGTGGGATATCGGATTATACCTATAACAAAAAAGAGAATAGTGTTCATAGTTTGCTTAGCAACTTGAACAAACCAGTTCTACAATTATCCCAGTTATGTCAAATACGGACAGATAATGGCAATCTGCAAAATTCCAGCCATATCAGTGAGACCTGTAAATAATTCACATTTAGCCAGAAAAAACAATGGTTGACCTTATTAGCAATGTCGCCCGCCATTGTTGCAAAATGACACTCAATCAGCCAAGTTACAGAGCATGACCACATTGATCTATTTTAGTCGCCTCTTACTACAAGCATAGATTTCCATGGAACTGATTCTGACCCATGCAGTTAGCCTTGCTCAAAGGCTGTACTGAAAGAAAAATGCATGGATGTGTAGTAATTCTATCCTCCTTATAGGCAAGTCTAGATATGTGGACAGGACTATAGTCCATGATAGTCTCTTATAGGGACAACTTGTTCATATTATTTACAAAATCTAGAAATTATGATGTAAAATAATAATTATTGCCTAAGAGACTTGTGCAAGTCTACATTGCACCCTATGTGGTAGGTCATCAGTGAATATACCAAGACACATAACATATGCAACCAATAAATGGTAAGGAAATTTACAACTCTACTCCCCTGACACTGACAGATGGCCACGGTCAGCCCATGACTGATTTGTACATTCAGTCAGTGTCGGAACCAAGTTGGTCAGGTAAATCCCACACAACTTGATCTTCTACCTGTCGGTTTCATGAGCAGTATCTGTCAGTCAAGCATGTTACTGTCCTGCTGACATGTCACTGATTGACATAAACAAGCTAGCAGCCTCATTAATACTTCAGGAAATACCCTACAATGACCATTGTGCAGTGTTGGGATTCACAACACGATTGACAGGATCAGCAGGTTGATATTGACATAAAGTTACAATCCCTGCTGATCAACCGTTTTACTCTGGTGTTTACATTTGTTTGAGTGAGTGAGTGAGTGAGTATGGTTTTACGCCGCTTTTAGCAATATTCCAGCAATATCACGGCGGGGGTCACCAGAAATGGGCTTCACACATTGTACCCATGTCGGGAATCGAACCCGGGTCTTCGGCGTGACGAGCGAACGCTTTAACCACTAGGCTACCCGACCGCCCCTACATTTGTTTGAAGAGCAGACAGTTTCGATACTGTGTTTAATTACATACAATGTCAGATATTATTTTTGAAAAGCTTGAATTATTGTTACAGATATTTGGCATGTTGACCAAAGAATTGAGTTCAATGCGTTTTGTAAATGTAAGTGTAAAAAGCTATTTCATAAATAATCTAATCTAAAATTAATCAGATTGAAATATGGTTTTAATGAAAATATTTTTATGTACATCAGAATATTGCAATGAGAATATTCATATTAAATGATATATGACTCAAAGTTTCTAAGTTTACAGTACTTTGTAGAATATTTTGACATTCACTCACATATTTTGTTTGAGAACAAAATCATGATAATGTCAGCTGTGAAATCATACAAAATGTTAAAACATTATCAAAATTGCAGATCAAAGGCATTAAACCAGATAATTTAGGTGATTTAGAAGCAATTAAGATGAATATATTTTCTGCTCAATGTCAAGTCTTCGAATTATGTGCATTTTAATGACAGAATCACAACGAGATGGTATTATAAACACATTAAGATGTCAAATTGTCCCTTACAATTTTGACAGCATCTCTATCAAATCGCCTTGTCCACAAAACTGACTGCTTCATAATCTGCAGCTTCTGGGATAGTCTTTTGAGACTTAAAAACACACATAATCGATTTTTGTGGGTTGAGTCGGTCCAACCGGTGTCTCAAGCTGAATCCTTTTGTCTGAACACAACATTAATCAACAGCTGTTCTCTCGCCAGATCAACGACCGTGAAACACACGAGGGGGTCGTGTTAGGAAGTTTTATCAATTCAATGTAACATTCATTAGTGAACCAATGTCGACGCAAATCTTTCATAGGGGTCATTATTGATTTCTTTCAAGCCATTAAGGCATAATCACTTGATATGGCAACGTTCGGATCAAATAACTAGAAAGCAACTGCGTATCCGTTTGCGAATTTTGATATAATTTAAATATTGTCGTTTTCTGTAGAATATTGCGTTTGTTTTCCGATTCTCAAACCTAAGAAATGAACAGTAAACAAAAGGGAGTGCTAGCATAGCCCATATATCATTAATAGCGCCTAATGCACTGCACATGTTATCTACCGCCGTTCTTGCGCTGAAAAGAATAAGTGCAGAAATCCCCAGCGAAAACGGCTCGAATTACCACGTGCACATTCCCGCACTCTTCGCCGTCTCAAAACAACGAAGATAACGGTAAATTTTCGCCAGCGACCTTTCGTTCTGAGGAATATATAGTATGCATGTACCTAGTTATTTTTATTCCTCGGAATAAGAACAGATCACCCCCCCCCCCACCAAAGAATGTAAGATTGACATGTAACAGAACGCGAAACATATATACACTGAGGTCGTGTGCATGACACGTCAGATTCAAGGCATCATGGTACATGTATTCTTCATACATTAGCAAGGGCATGGTGACAGCGTGGCCTGTTAAAGTATATAATGACATGTTTGGATTAAACACACGATTTATTGTGTTATGACTGTTGGAAAATAAGAACACGATGCCAAACATGATATCAGCACCAATGACACCAAAAACAATAACTGGCTATGGGGTTTGTTTACGAGATCGGGTCAAGTCATTATGATCAGCATAGTAAATGAAACAGCTTACCTAGCTAATCTGCAGTCAAATTCCCGTCTGAAGTAAACTCCACAGGCGAAATGTGTTGGGCTACCACTCAGAGAAATCTGCGACAGTGTCGGACAAAGCAGATGACCAATTTCACAAATTCACTGTAATGAATCGGCAGTACTATGCCTCTTTACCGAGCGTATGATGTCCTTTTTTTTGCCGGCTTTGTCCATCTACTTGAGGAATCAAACGCAAGCCTCTATTTATCTACCTCCTCCTTTCTCCCCCTTTTCTACCGCTAGCCCAGCTATCTTTGCAACAGATAGCGCCGGTGTTCTTGCTAGCAGACTCTCACCGAACATGAGAACCGATGGTAAAAACAGATTGCAGGCATTACTCGTCCGTATCAGTTGCAGTCTAATTTTGAATTCACCAACCTTTGACCTGCTTCCTGACTCATTCTGATTGATCCATATTGGTCACGTGGCTGGTACAACTCGCACCTGCTGCCCGGAATGTTTACATCACGTGACGATATTACTATTTATAGCCTTAACACACGTGGGGACCGTCCCAGCCATGTGATGGATGCTTCGGCCACTCCGTTTCACATAACGGGTAAAATAGTGATGCGGTGGAGCTCATCCCGTCACAACTGAGCGGCGCTGTCATTCGTATTGGGGACACGTTGACTGCGAGATGTGGGGATGGTGGTATGCAGGGAATATCTGAAACTGTGACCGTTTGATGGAGTTTTATGTCACGTTAACATGAGGTTTGTAATCTCATTTACATAACGCAGTGATCGCTGCCTAAAGACTTTCGCGTGGCAGGGGCTTCGATAATGTTGTTATAATTTGTGTCAAGGGTGAAAGAGATATCACCTTTGTAATGTTACAAAGAAGTTCTAGTTATGTTTTTTAAAAAAATTTTGAGTGAAACCGGTTAACGATTTAATTCTAGAAAATATTCTTTTTTTTCCACATTTAAAAAAATAACATCGTTCGGGGAACATGCTGAATTTTCTGATATGCTGTGCATTCCCCCAAACGTACGTCTTCAATCGCCGACTAAAAAAAATCCAACATCAAATCTCCAACAAGAATACATTCGGATGTTATTTCAACATGATTTTTAAAAATAAATTTTGAGCAGACCGAGCAGCCATATTGTACGTTACTGATTACAATGGAGTTTCATTTTCAGTATGTTGTATGTTGAATAACATGACACGTAGTGCATGTTGATACTTCGCACAGCTTCATCCGTTTTTAAGGTCATTTGACCATGTAGGGGCGGTCGGGTAGCCTCGTGGTGGTTAAAGCGTTCGCTCGTCACGCCGAGGACCCGGGTTCGATTCCCGACATCGGTACAATGTGTGATGCCCATTTCTGGTGTACCCCGCCGTGATATTGCTGGAATATTGCCAAAAGCGGCGTAAAACCAAACTCACTCATTTGACCATGTTCACAACCAGTTGTGCGTGCATCAACGTTTGATTTGGTGAACATGCAGTCTGTTGGTACCCTTTTACACATTCGTTTGTTCCAATATACCGGGTATTTAATATTCCAGAAAAGTTGAGGTTAGTTTTGGGTACACGAAACTACTCTTATTTGGTCTGCCTTGTAGAAACTCCGGGATCCGTCGGGATACTTCGCGATCTCTCGGGGCTTTAAGGGAGACAAGGCTTGGTTGAACTGGCAGATCCAGCAAACTCGATTCACGTCAGTCAACACAAAAAATGTTTATCTGCCAACTCAAATCTTGTGATGTATACAAATAAAGCAGGTGATGGTTAACCTAATTACACTTGAACTGTCTCAGTTTTCACAAGTCTTATATAAGTACAACGTCTGGACAGACCTAAAATGGACACAATATAGTGGAACATAGTCCCCGTTTAACCGTATACTGGCCGCGTCATAACATTGTACAGTAGAACACGGATATAACGAACTACAAGGGACCAGAGAAATCAGTTCGTTATATCCGTTGTTTGTTATACACGTTTTCGCTCGGAAACGTCCGCCATCTTGGATAAGACAAAACCTCTTCCGGACGGGGCCAAAATCAGTCGATTCGCAGGATTCAAGAATGGATTCTCTCTTCTTCATAATGGTACTTAATGTTGATTTTGGAATGTCAAATTCCATTGCAATATCTTTCTTGGTTTTTATGCCAGCATCAACAGCATTAATAATTCTCAATTTCGTGTCTAAACTTATAGCTTTCCTCTTACTATTGTATATAATAAGCATATACGCATCGCGATTAGAACTTGCGGAATCAGTATAGTGAGACAAATTGCTCCGACGATGACATACGGGCGTGTTTTGTCACGGAGTCTGTATAAACCGTATATTTATACTCCCTGGTTGTTTGTTCGTAACGTTTATGTCGACTAGATTGGGTATACGTTGCTGTACCGGCCTATTGTTTCCAAAACGAATCCCACGACAAGATACATGTATACAGGAGACAGCCAGACAATGTTTATTGATTGCGGCAGGATTCCGAAAGAATAAATTGTCACAGACATACGTGACTCATAGATGTCTAGTCCTACACGTCGATATCAGACTTGAGAGTGTTGCATTGCGTCAGGGTCTGCGACTGATGCAACAGTCAGGTCATTCGGACATATCCGACATGTTACGTTGCCCTTCGGTTTTTTTCGGAAACGGTACAACGGACAACGCATAGTCTCCATGCTAAATTCAACCAGAGAAACTAACGAACGAAACATAATGTTATCGCTATTACATTGGAGTGAGTGAGGCAAATGTGTTTTAAACTGAAGTTAAAAACATTGTTACCACATCACCACGGCATGTAAATTTAATATAGCGTAAGTGTTAGTGTGTCATCAAAGAACTATCAAAAGTCTTTAGACATTATGGCCACCCGATTCCCTTTAACTCGCCCTGTACGACAAGCATGGCGTCTTGGGTGGCCGTTTTATCCCCCGATCCCTGTGAGGATTTGGGGGAGAATGTATGTCATGTAAGTACCAATGCTTGTCATGCAAGATTGAACTGAAGGTGGGACGGCTGCAGTTCCAGGCTGACCAAGCGTCCATCGTTGTTTATGCTCTCAACCACGGGTCTGCTTTCCTAAGACATGATTAATTACGGGGCGGTCGGGTAGCCTAGTGGTTGGAGCGTCAGCTCGTCACACCGAAGACCCGGGTTCGATTCCCGACATGGGTACAATATGTGAAGCCCATTTCTGGCGTCCCCCGCCGTGATATTTCTAAAAGCGGCGTAAAACCAAACTCACTCACTCATGGTTAATTACAGCCGCCGTGATGTTGCTGTTTGCAGCGTAAACAGCATTCACTCACTCAGTCATCACCTGGATGCGCACAGAGGAGGCACGGAAAACTGGCTGGCCTATGTTTACGCATGCGCTCACATTTACAGCGGCACGCGACCAAGATTCTTGCTTCATCACAGGTTGATGGCTTGCTTATGTCCAAACAGAAACATCCAGCCAGATGGTCCAGTTGTAAACACACAGATGCGTCTGGCATGCGAAAAATACACAAATGCGAGAGTTCTGTTGTGTAAAATGGTTTATTGGACATTGTACTATGGAGCGCCAGGTTGCAGCGCCAATTGTCAAGTCCTGGAGCTATTTAATGCACCAATTAAACATACTGTAAATGATGTTGGCACTGGGGTTTACAAAAACAAACAAAACAATGTTAAGTATGTGTTTTTATAACTGCAGATTTCTCTACAGCAACGTAGAATGATAGTTCTATACATGCACGGAGCCGATGAAAGTTACGAAAGGGTTGATGAAAGGATATATATATATATATATATATATATATATATATATATATATATATATATATATATATATACACACACACACACACATATATATATATATATATTAATAATTAAATAACCTTATTGAGTTATGTCCTGATGAGACTCGTACATGGTACGAGTTGAAAGCGCTAGCCAATTAAAACTGTGATCAATCCTACTTCACTTATTTAATTTAATTATTACTATATTGTGCCTGAGAGTTAAAACTTTACTGTGTTTAACACATGTAACAGTTTAACATGAATACACCACACAGACACAGTATACTGACTCCGAGCCGACCAGTCCTTGTTTTAGCTCCAAGATTATTGCACTTATATAGCGACGTGCATGTACGTGTGTGTGTGTGGCTGCTTGTACTAGGCCGGACTGATGCCGATTTATAGTGCTAGCTCACTGAGGTACCATGCCGCAGTTTAACATGAATACCCCACTCAGACACAGTATACTGACTCCAAGCTGACCAGTCTTTGTTTTAGCCCCTTAATGCCGAGCGCCAGACAGGGTAACAACAAGTACCATCTTTTAACGTCTTTTTGTATGACGCGGCCGGGGATCGAACCCCGGACCTTCCGCTCTCCGGGCGGACGCTCTACCAAAAGACCACGGAGGCGGTCAGCTGATAATAACAAACTGGATATATTTTTACAGGACATTTGTTCCAATCCCATGTATTAAAAGTTCTTTCTTCAACAAAATGTAAATACTTTTTGAGTTACAGTATATAAATACTTTTTGTTCCTTACAACTTAAAGCTGTATAATCAGCATAATGAGAGTCACTTTTGACATCTCACAGTATGAGTTAGCGGTAGTTCGAGACAAGCGGAGCACCCTCATAATATCGACCTATTGATGAAGAGTTCCGTCATAAAAAAAAGGGTCACGTGGGCTTCTTTGTTCGGGTTTGGATGGCTTGTTTAAATGTTGGCTCTTTCGTCTGTAGCCTCCCAGACTCCCCTAAAACATATAAGCTTAATCAATATTATATTTCCTTTCAACTTTTTTCAGTAAGAATGTAACATTTTCGAACGTCTTTCAAACAAAACCAAAAGTAGATTCTCATCCGAAATCTTTAACACTAAAGGGTCGTTAATTACCCTTCCCGTCACGTCTATATACATATCACATGACCTATGTCAGTGGCACCCCACCCGTCTGTTCCTTTGGCATTTGTGTCTGTGCTGTGACATCTCCAGGCACCGTTCTGCGTAACACAATACATGATGGGGAGAGGTGGAAACTCGCGGCGTGCCAGATGGCGGGAGATTTTTTTTCATTCCTGACCTCGCCACATTTACCGCAAAAATTTCAAATTCCTTTACCCAAATGTTTCTGTTCTTGGGAGATGTTATAGATGAACTTGAGAGACACCACATGATCTGGTTGCGCTGTTTGTTTTCTGGGCGAATTAAGAACAGATGGAGTTATATACGCCGTTCAACCTTCTTGTGTTCGTATCGCTTGATAGGAACGTGACTTTTGATGGGGTTATTATGATGAAGATAGCGATCTCATAAGTCAATCTATGCCCGATCCCTTTGGAGAACACAAACGATGTCTTTAGTGAATGAG